ACGGGCAGTCAGAGGTGTAAAATGCTCCTAAGCAGCAGGGGGGTATCCAGAACATTGTTTAAATAAAGTTTGTTCACTTCTCTGGCGTTTGCCTTTCTGATGAACGTATAGATGGCCATTGTATTACCTCCAAGTCTTCATTTTGCTGGCCCAAATAAATCACGCTCTGTAGCAGGAAGGCTCTTAAATCACACATTTATAATCAGAGGGATTTTCAAGCTCTGTGCCTGTGCAGAGTTCATCTTTCTTGAAAGTAAGTGACAAAAACTGCACTGTGTTTCAGCTAAAATTCTACTCATGCTTGTACCATGTCATTAATATCTCTGTAGTCACTTTTTTTCTTGGATGGGTGTATAGCTATGGGGCAATATGATGATGTGGCCTGAAAAACATGAGTTCCTGGGGCATGTGAGGTGAGGCAGTTTGCTCAGAGGCTTGTATCACCCTTCTGTTTGGTAGTTACTCAGGACTTTCTCTTCATCTACTGCTTCCCATTGATTACCCACCCCCCATTTGAAAAAAAAGAAAAAAAATCCTATTATTAGTTCCTAGGCTTGACCTAGCTCTTAATACTATTAAAAAAACCTGAGCAGACCAGGCAAGTCAAGGTTTGGGGAACCTCACTAAGAAAAAGGTTGAAATGAATTCAGGTACTTGATATTCTTAAGGGGAAAATGGTGTTTGCATTTTAGTTTTATCTGATATTTTGCTGACATGATTATTTTTATTCTCACCTGCTCAGTATTTCACTGCCAAGCAAATCGCAGCAACTGTTTTCATACAAACTAACTGGCATGACTGTCAGTTTATTTCTGCGCTGTGACACCTCGTGTTTGGAAGAATTACTGAGTCCATTTGCTGCATCATGTTATCCTATCTTTGATGGTATCGTGCTGCCATTCTGAGTGCAGAGGTTGCTGTGGTTCCTGTTTTTTTCAAGGATTTTTAGCCTTGACGAAGTTCTTTCATGTCAGTAAGGCAACTACATATTGACACATGCATAGCAAAGTAGAATCTGCTGATTTTGGAGGGAGGAGTCGAACATGTGGATAAGTATTTTCAGAATTGGGCTCTAAATTCTGTAATACAACAACTAAAAGAATAATAGACAAAGAAACGAATTTAGTTCCTAAAAGCCACGAAGGCTAAAAAAGTAAGGTTAAGACAGCAGCGTTACGTAGCTCATGAAGTAAACAGAGATGTTTCACTAGTTTTTTCACTGTGAAATTTTACAAGGGTGTCTGAATGTCTGGTACTTTAAATATAATCTCCTTATTAGCCATCAGCAGATAATAGGATCCTGAACTATATGAAAGATGTTTATTTGAAGATTCCAGAAGTTTTCATTATTCTCCATTTCCAGCTTTTGATTATGGAGTTTCTTGTTAGGATTTTGCTCTGGACTGGAGCAGTCCTTAACTGGAGTTGGGAAGTTACTGGAAATAAGTCTTGGGGAAAAATATGTCATCCCTGCCATATGTCTTTATGCAAGTCTGAGATTCTTTCACTTTCTGTTTTATCATCATCAGCTTTTTTTCGTCATCATCTTTTTTTCCTCTTTTATCATGGGCGTGCTCTTTTTTCAGTGTACTTTACATCCTCCAGTTTTGCATGCTGGCATTCCTTAGAATCCATTCTTTTCTAAAAGTTTCCAATTTATTTTCCCATTACTGCCACTGCTACTTCAACTTCCTCATGTTAAAGAGCTACCCTCCTCACTTTCCTCTGCTGGCTGGGGGGTTCACCCTCCTAGCTGATTGAAATCATTGTCTTCAGCCAATAGATTTCAAATCTTCTGCAGTTGATCCTTTGATACAGAGCAGAAGTGTTGAGGCAAAACTGGGCCTGAGCTGTGCTTCTTGGAAACCTCCCGCTGAAGTCCTGTGTTAGTTGGTTTACTCCTGCCTCTGCTGCAGGTACAATTTCCTTTGGATTTGGAGGCAAGGCCTTCAAGATCATTTGCAGCTATTCTGTGGTCCTGTGTGTTGCTCTAGAGAAGCTGGAATGAACGTGAGCCTGGGACACCTCTTATGGCACCACAGCTGTTAGGTTTCTTTACTCTCTTTGGCTTCGCTCCAGAACAAGCTGAAGTCAATGGAAAGATTTGAATGGCACTCCATCCGAATGAATCGACTGCGCACAAATGCTTGGTGGAGGTACACCAGAAGTAGGACAGGAAAATTGTTCTTACACTGACTCTTGTTTTTGAATGTCTTTTAAAAATACTTTCTCACTCATATCAATACTTCTTCAATAAAGTGGTTTTTCCTAGATTGAAATGCTAGTGAATCTTATGTAAGCCCGAACTAACTCTATTAAAATCAGTATGCATGTTACTCAGTTTATATTACGGCTATTTAAATCTCAGAGAATCTATTTTTTTTAACAGTGCTACTATTTTATGTTTATGTTTTCTGTTTTGAAAACCTTGGTCTACTTCTAGCCAAAGAAATTAAAATAGTTTAATTCATTTCTGTTATAATGGTGGCACTTAGCACTATAACTAGTACTCTTATTTCTTTAATTCTTATTGATGAATACAGCTCCTCAGAAACAATCTGAAATAGATCTCAGAGCAGTTGGAAAAATCTCTTCCCTGAATTCATACACAGAACAAGTACGAAGGGCCCATGCTTACAGGTTCAGATTACAATCTATAAATGTTCGAATGACCTACGCATTCATACATTTGAGTGGAAAACTGTATTAAACCTTTTCAGAAGACGACACTGTGGTCTAGAATCTTATAGGCAGCCTTTAGATTTGTACTCATAAATATTATGCATATGGCTGTTTGCTCTTTTAGTAGCCTTGGAGTATCTGATGTCAGCTACTTCCCTTAAATAAAATACTTAGGACATGTAACACCTGGTTTGGAGCCAACTGGCTTCGGTTTACTTCCTTTCCAAATGCTTTCATTCACAAGTGAGCAAAATGACTCCTCACGCTGTGAAAAGGAACCTAGAAATACATTGTGAGCACAATTTTACACCAAACGGACGTATTTTCAGTTTTTAATAAACCTCAGTAAGAGTTTGATCCAGCTCCCAATAACTTCAATGGAAAGATTTCTTTTGACTTTAGTGGGATTTTGACTAGAACCGTATTTGCGAACCACAGCTCTGGGGGGGAGCAGCACGAGCAGTGGGGATGGAAAGAATCATTGCTTTTTGTCCAGTCCTCTGCCACGGGGAAGGACCCGATTGCCACCAGAGACAGGGGATTTCTAACACGGTGAGCTTCAGTGCTCCGAGACAGCAACTGTCGCACGGCAGCGACCTTAGAGGAGTGCAGACCTGCAATGAAATAAAGTTTCCTTGCCATTACTCACTCTTAGGAGGCAAGCAGAATGAATAGAACCGTAGGACCCAAAGGCTCTTGCAAATGACTGTTGGAACAAAGAATAATCTGGAGAAAAAATTAATTGAAAGTTGAAATCTTTGAAGAATTTAAGGTTGAATAAATGTCTGGGAAGGCATAATCTGATTCCCTGGAGACATGAAGCTATCTGCTATGAGTGTAAATGTAAGGTTAAGCATCAGGAATAGCGGTATACATTAGCTAGCAATAAGTCCAAATTTCCACTGCAAAATATGCATATAATTATGGCAAAAAGTGTGTCTTAGTGCTCTTCACTCTTAAGTCATCTCAGAACCAGATCCTGAAGTCTTAATGATACTTGTGGTCAGAAATGACCTCTCAGCAGTGTGTCTGTTAAGACAGGAACCAGTTTTTATGTACTGAGCCCTTCCCAGTGTACATTGCAGGCTCAAGTTCATGCTGATCATTCCTTGTCTGAGCAGACAGTTTGGAGATGCTCTTACAGTCCATTATATAACCTCTAGATACAGTTTTTCTGCTCTTTGTTTATTTTTTTGTTTGTTTGTTTGTTTTTACCTTTACTGCATTAAGCTTGCTTTCATTTCCTGCTGTCTAGGGTCAGAATCGCCTGCAATCTGTTTCCCGTTACGGTGCCTCTCTTGCGACATATCACTCTCTCTCTCTCTCTTTTTTTTTTCTTTTTTTTTTTTTAATACTTGATGCCTCTTAGAATTGCTTGAAGGTTGTTATGACTATTTTGCAGCAAGAGATAATGCTCCCTTCAGGCTAGGGAAGTACGGGAGGTTGGATTTAAGGCTTTTTGTTAATATCTGCTCATTCTATGCTGCCTTAAAAAAAGGTGTTTAATTTAGCAAAACGGTGCGTACGTCAGGTTGTATAGAGGGTTTTTTTATTTACCTTTAGCAGAAAGCTTATCAAGTGATGTCAGACTAGTTACTTTCTTTCAGAAAGCTGATGCAAAGAAGTTCAAAAGTACATGAGAAACTTGCATGAATTGCCTTTCATTTTTCACGTTCCTCACCGACAGATGTCAGGAAATTTTAAAGGCTTTAAAAATATTTTCTGTGAATGCTTTTAGTAAGGAAATGTTCAGTTCCAGTCTGAACTTGTTTCAGCACTTAGTTTGGTCACCTTGATATGAGGAGCTTGAATGTTTATTCCATTCAGAGTTCCAAAACCTAGAGACTGCACCTGAGCACACTTGACAGTGAAAGACAATTTCCTTAGAGAGGAGTGTTCTTAGGGAGTGGCTAAATTACAGTGCTAAATTGAGCTTTTTTCCAGGACTCTTGCGGAGTTGTCAGTAGTGTTGCAGGGCTTTTGTTAGCCCAGTATTTTGAGCCTGTTGAGTGTGGGAGGGAGTGGGTCAAACTCTCTAAACTCATGTAGTTGACTTTCAGGTACTGTCACAATCTGTATTAGCTGGAGATTAAGTTCATGATATGGGGACTTCAGATTTACGTAAATATTGTAGTTATGCTTGAAATAACTAATGCTAGTGCAGCAAATTCAGAATATATTTTCAATTAAATCCAAATCCATGGTGGTTTCCTACTGCCTTCCTTGCACATCTATTCCTAGTTAAAAATGCCACCTTCTCTCATCCAGGAGTTTCTCTGTTCTTGGGGCTCTGGGGATACAGCTTCTTGCTGTTAGAAATGTGCAAGGATCACAGAGTTAAATTTGTCTTGGTAGTTCTCACTGATGTAGAGGTACTTGGGTACGCAGGATGGCTGAGGCACAAGTTCTAATTATTGATTGTGTTCCTGGTCTAATAGTGTACTGAGTATCTCAAAACATCGCCTAGTTTTATGGGTTTTGGTAGCCCTAGAAAGCACTCATCACCTTGCAGAATAGCATGAACTTGTGTAAGTTCACTTGTCCTCAAAGGATTTCTAAACCGACTTTTTTGGTCTGTTTAGTGATTCTGAAAATGACCCAATTATGGAGAAGTTACAATGTAACTCTATTTTGACATTTATTTCCCAGAAAATTCACCTGACAAATGCAACATAGGTGAAAAGTGCTGAAACAAAGCATTTTAATTAAAGATCTTCAGCTGACAAGTAGTTATGACATTCAATTTTCTTCTTTCTTTTTTTTTTTAATAGGGTGGAAAGAAGTCTTACAGTGGGCCATGCGGGGGCCGCGATTGCAGCGCTGGATGCAAATGCTTTCCAGAGAAGGGTGCGCGGGTAAGTTTGTTTTCAGTAATACAACTAGTCCTTGTGTCTCTTATCAATCTTTTTATAAATAAATAAAAGCCAAGTTAATATGTGTAATTCTCAATCTAATGACCTCATGAAACAAGAGAAATGATGAAGACCAGCTGCATTTCAAATGTCCCTGGCCAAGATTTCAAAAACTGTTCCAAAGATTTACAAATTGCTAGCTTTGCAATGAGTCTTCAATGGAATCTCATTTCTTTATGTGAACTGAGCCCTAGTTCAAAAAAGTCAGATGTTTTTTAAGTAGATTACACCAACTAAAAAGGAAAATCAAAGTAGTGTGGACTTCCAGTACGGATTTTGCCCAGTCCTTACTTTAATAGCTTGTATTTGTTTGTGGAAGTGTTTCTGACTTTGGTATTTGTTTGTGAAGGCACAAAGCTCTGAATGAATCTAAGCATTTCCCTTTGAGGAAGTCTTTTGTTTGGCTAAAGCCCCTCTCTCTGAAGTCTGCATTTGAAGCAACCAAATGTTTAAGCAAGTTTTCTGTAAATATCTTTTATTTCTTTTGATTGTATGAAAGGGGTTATAACTTTTATCTTAATGCAGCTGGTTATTTCCTATCTTAGGGTAATGCAGAGCTGTTGACTTCACTCTGCCTTCAATTGCAATGTTAATTTTTGTCCAGACACCATCTACTTAATATTTTCTCTTAAGGTCTCTAAAGTATGTTAGCACGTATCAAAACGAATCTTACAGATTTTGCTTACGGAGATGAAAGGAGGAAAGAGCTGCATTGTAGGTACTTGAAGAATTGACTTGGAAGGGCTTAAGGAGAAGGGAAATAATACTAGTTGTCTTGTTTGATAAAGCAGTTATTCTTGCTGAAATCATATTGAAAAGTCCTCTGAGGGAAAACAAAAGGAATTAAGTCATATTTAAACACTAGCAATCCTGATTTTTTTTTCCTATGTATTTCAGTGGCACAGTGTGGGTAAATTCAAGGCATCACTTTCTAGGACTGAACTTAGGAAAACGTTGCTATTTAGAAATGATTGTCAGCATGGGCTTAAATGTTTCCCTAATTGCAGACAGACTTGAGCATGAATTCTTAATTGATAACTGGTGATGTGTTTGCTCTGGAAGTATAAACATTCTTTCAAATCATCATGGGACAGGGTGAAAACATGTCTAAACAGGTAAGTGGAAGAACTTACAAGGAAGTTCTCAGCATAACCTAGAATATGAGCTAAAGCCAATTGCTCAACACCTTTTGTGATTAGATACAGTAAGGGACAGACCTAGTTTGGTTCTGGAACCTAATATCCTGTAAAAGCTTTGACCTTTAGATAGCAATAAGCATCATTCTTCTGTCTCTTTACATTCCTGGGGTTCAACTTGATTGTTTGAACTGGCCACAACACTGTTGACCTTGCAGTTTGAGCTCTTGGCATCTCTTTTGTTAAGATGTCACAAAGATTTTAGACTGTTTTCATTGCTGACCTGAGAACTCATTTGGCTTTTAGCTTGTTTCTTACATGACCTGTATTGGTAGGCATTTTCAGTCCTTTAAACGCGTGTTCCATCCTACTGAGACCTGACCGTGGAGTAAACTGGCTGCTAGGACTGGTAATCTTTCCCTTTTACAACACTACTTCCATCAAGCCCTGCTGGCACCTTCTTGGACATCTGCAGGCAGCTACTGGAGTCCTGCCATGCCAGAGGATAAGGAGGTGACTGGCTAAACTGGGAAAGGGGTTGGTGTGGTTATGTATCCTACAGCACAGCTTGTTTCTTGGAGGAGGCTGTACAGCCTGAGGCTAATTCCTTGGCTTCCTGCCTAGCTTCTCCTCCATTGCTGCAAAACCTTTAAGCTCAGAACAGGCAAATGGGAGATGGGACTTTGCCAATGCCCCGAATCCATATTTTGTTTAAAAAAAAAAGTTTCAGCTGTCAATTTTGCACAATTAACCAGATCAGAATAAAGCTAAGCTTTCTTTTTAAAAGAAAGAAATATTGAAAAAGCACAAGAAAAATGACAATAAGCTGACAGCTCAATGAAAATAATATAGGCAGTGTCCTTAAATGTCCTCCTCCCTGGGTGCGCTTCTGATCAGCTCAAGCTGTGATGAACTTGTTTCTGACCAGATACTTTAAAAAATTTATTTAAGCAATAAAAATGTCAAAAGTGCCTAAGACTCACTGCCTGATTAGTGAAAAATATTTCTAGAAATGGGATGTAGGCATGTAGAACCCCTATGTTCTTGTTTCTGCTATAGACTGTTAGTGCATGTGCAAGATATAAAAAAAAAAAGGGAAAAAAAAAAAGAAAAAAAAGGAGAACAAAGTATAACCTCCTTATCTTTAAGACAGAGCTTGGTAGAAGACTAATCTCTGTAAAGTGAGTCAGCTCTTTGTGGAATAGATTGGGATTCTTTTTAGAAGGAAGGGTAGTACAGTGTTTTTCTAGCAGCCACTTGGGGGGGGTTCTAGCAGAGTGGTAAGGCACATCTACAAGAGCAAAATTTCATTTGTTAGTTGTCCTAATGGCTTGCATTAACTTTGAAAAACCAGAATGCTAGCTGGTACCCATTTAAGGCTGTTCAGTGAAGTTTAACGTGGTCCAATTTACTGTGAAGCCTGCACAAGAAGAAACCTGTTATGGAAGCATCCTTCATCTTAGCCAGTGATTCAGAATTGGTCCTTGTATCTAATGATAAGTTAATGAAAAGCCTGGCTCTATGTAATTCAATGGCAAAACTCCTGGGCCTCGTTGCAGTCATTCTCCCCTCTTTATCCGTTCTTATCTTGTAAAGATTCATGGGAAACAGTCCAGCGATTTGTGCAGAAGTCCAGTTCTTAGTGCAGAGGTGTTACCTTCACTGAAAAGTCCCAGCTAGGACCTTTTCTGGAGGTTTTCTCAGAGGTGAAATGAAGAGATTAAACTGAGTTTGTGGCTCTTACTGCTTAAGTGCACAAGACGGTATCTAGTTAAGCTTACATGTCACGTGACAGTTTAAGAGTAAATGTAATAGCAGGAGAAGCCCACCAAACTGATTTTGTCCAGTTATAAATCTAGGAATTCTGGATGTGGTTGTTTGGTTCCCCTAAACTGCATTGTTAGAACTTACACTGACTGTAATATGAAATCTAATATAACGCTGTGCAAAGAATATGTCAGGTAGCATCACAGAGAATACGACAGCCCCTACCTACAGCTGGAGTCTCTAGATGAATGTGTGGGACTTCTAAATCTCTGTCCCCCTACTCCTGTTCTTCTGGCCAGCTGAGGTAACAGCTATCAAACTAGTACAACAAGGCAATTTTAAAAGGAAGTCTGCTGTGATAGCGGAGGTACCCAAATGTACCCTGGTGCATGCAATTTTTTTAGGAAGGGAGACAGTCTGAACACAAACTTACATTTATTGAACCCAGGTCTGCATACAAGTCTTACATACAGTCCTCTTTCAGAACAGCAACTGATGGGTCGAAAAAGCGCTTTGTATTAAACTATGAAGCGCAAGAGAGAAGGTGGAAAAAGCAACCGTATTAAATTATAATGTAAGTGAGGAAGTGAATGTACATTCTGATGCTAGTCTCTATCTAGTGAAAGGCTGGATTTCTGATATGTATAGTTCCAGTGCAGGTGAGCAATCTACAGCTAGAACATTTCTGGGACTGTCAGAAGAAATATTCTGTTTAAAAAATTGTTTTTCACTCCCCTTTCTCACTGTTTGATCCACAGTTTATGGGCAGGAATAATGCTCTTTGAAAATTTCATGCTGTATTGATGGCTGTCTTGCCAAGAAATGCACTACAGATAAGTCAGCAGTAACCAGGAGGGCATTTTCCCTATTTGCGGAGTTTCAAGAAGCATTAAATAGTAGATGTCCTGCACCATTTAATCTCTGCAGCTCATTTTGCATTTGTTTATGGTAGTGTTGGCTGTTTTGTTTTTATATACTGTCATCTACTTTCAAACACTCACAAAGATAAACTAGCAGACACAGTCCTTGTTGCATGTATACTTTCTCCTAATGCCTGTTCACTTGTCTTGGAATTTATAACAATATTAGGGTTTGTTTTAAACTTTGCTCAACATGTGCTGGAGCTCTTCAGCTGATATTAATCTTTCATTTTTTCATTCTGTCTAAGTCCTGTCCTCACCTCCTCCACCAAAAAAGGAATTTGAAGGGAAAAAAAATTTAGAAATTGTTTCCAAGGCTTCACAAATTACTTGGCGGAGACTGTGGCCCAGGCAGCTTTTACAGCTTAGAATTGTTGTAAATTGGGAGAACTTGATATTACCAATTATATTTCATTTTTTCCTGTGATATGTGATCATGTCAAATAATGTATGCGTTTCTTGCGCATCATGTGTTCTTTACAGCCCATTAAAATATGACATGATCAATTAGAAAACTGTTAATGGCATTATAGAACCTCTTTCCTGTCTCAGAAAAAAATCCACACAGAGGCTATTTCTAGCAACTGGAGTGGTTGGAAAGGAGTGTATCTGTAGAATAAGGCGGTTGGTTCTGAGGACATGGTGGACAGTTCACACTAAATCGAGTCTGGTGCCATGAAGTGAAGGACCACTGGAGTACATCAGGTATGCCATGGAGCTCGTCTCCTGACCTAGCCTGACTCGAAAGAAATTCTACTTATGTATTCCAAGACTACACTGCAATGTGAAGCAAAGCACAGTAAGTAGGAGAGTAAGATTGAGAGATTTTGCTTAAAAATGCGGTCGCTATCTGCATTAAAGGCTAGCGTACCCAGAGATACATGAGATTCCACAGGTTTTCTCTGAAGTTAAAATGAAGATAGTAAATGTAGTGTAAATTATCTGTGGGCAATCAAAGAGTTTTTGATAGAATTACTGCAGATCAAACAAGCTAGAAAAGATAGACAGATCCCCGACTTCCATGCACTGAACAGCGTAACCTGAGGTCAGAACTTTAGATGATTTAATCTAATTGTTATCTAGCATAAACTAATCTAGCATAAACTAATGTCGCATTGGC